TAGCTAACGAAATCGCAGTTACTACGTTCACGGATTCTTTACGTGGACTTGAAACTGGGTTTCGATCCACCAATAACTTCAATAGCGGAGGTTCCTTGCACAATAAGTGAACGTTTGTTTTATTACTTTCACCTATTGTTAGGCATCGTGGCCTGTAGTGAAACTAGCGTATATGATCTAGTTGGTAGCACTTTGGGCAATGCACAAGGTAGCTTAGCTACTTTTCATCAAACGATACTAGCAAGAAATGTATTGACTGTTCTAAAGCTATCTAGGACGTCGATAAATTTGAGTGACTTTCAAGCTGTCCATTATCAGCAGACTAATTTGGTAAAGATTTCCGTTCAGGCTCCGAACACTTTCTACCATAAGCTGATTTAGTACCACGGAAGGGTAATGAGTTTATGGGCAGATACATCGCTGAAGGTTAGCGAAATCCATTCAAGATTGGTGAAAATACTAGATCAGAAGGCTTTTACCGAGATAGCACTCTGATACTAAGTAGTAGTCGAAGGCTGAGGTCGAAAACTATAGAGGAGGTAACCACGCCTTAGATCTCAAGGAAAAGAGCGAGTTGCTGTGATTACTGAGACTTTTGAACAAAATATATAATACTGGGAAGGCGCTTCCGGTCAACTTGAAGTAGAATTTCACGAAATGCGTGTGACGAAATAGTGACGAGGATACCAATCACGAAAAAATAAACAAAAAATAGATTCGGTCGAAGGCAAATAAAAACACGTGTGGTGTACTCTGTGATGATATGCGTGGTCAGCGCAAGCAAAAATTACTTCAAGACCACTGTCTTTATACATGAGTTCTAAAAACTAAAAAAGAACTACGCGAGAGAATGATGTCCGTATGAAGAATAGACAAGCTCAATTATACCGTTTAAGAGGTTCGCTTGTAAACTGGTGCTCGTCATCGAAATAGATGCCAGGTCATTTGTTATTACCAGATATTGACCAAAAAACATAGTCAATGCTTCAAGGAACTTTAGATTTTTGGCGAATTTATTGCGAACGGCAGGTGCAACAACCAAAATAAGGCTATCCTGACAACAAGCCACGATATCATGACGCTTCAATCGCGTCCTGTATTGAGGAGAGTAGGCTCAAACAGTGATCTGAGCTTTCATACTTCCTAAATTTATGTTCGTTTAATTTGACTCGCTTTTGAAGAATGCGATAGGTGGCGTAGCGTTTTTTTTACAGACTAATAGTCCAGGTACACAGGTGTTGAGAAGATCCAGAGCGCCAATTTACAATCAATTAAGGGAAGTATATTTGTCATGTATCAAAATATCGTTATTTCACCTTAATTTGAAAGTTATTGACATTTTTCGATCAGTTAAATAGCTCCGGACAACAAACTACTCCACGGTGATACACCAAGTACATCCCTCCCCCACCTCCCGTCGGTAGCGTATTGTATTCATAAAACCCATAAACGCGTCGGGTTTTACATCTGGTACTGTCGTTTACCATGCTCCAGACGGCTGACGCTTTTCACTAGCAAACAGACGTGTTAGCACCGAGATATTACGTAGACTGTCTCATAAATCAATAATCTTTACATAGGAAAAAAAATGTTTTCAAGACAAAACTTAACTATGCGAGATACGTTTTTATTAGTACTCAACAGAAGCTATTATTTGTGAAAAATATTGTTGGGCTCTAATTGAGAGCGAAGCAGAGAAGGCATCTCTATATTCGATCATCCATCTTACTTACATTTCTTTGCTCCATCTTTGATTTCAATACATTAATAAATATTTGTTTGTATAGAGCTCTATAATTTATTTAAGTAAATAGTACGTTTGTATGTCTAATTAACAAATACAGTTTGTCTGCTATAAGCATAAAGTCCCAATAACACTGATCTCAGTGCAAGCAAACATATAGGTGTTATGCAATCAAACTCACCTCATCATTTTCTAACATAGATACACCTTCCTGTTGGCCCAAAATTGTTACCTGCTGTATGCTACATTGTGTTAGTAACACGCTATGACAAGGTACAGGAACGCTATATACCCTGATACTTTAAAGAGGTAACTTTTAGATGCTACAAAATGTATACAATTCACTACCAGTTCTTATTTCTGTAGTATTTGAAGTTATTTAGGATTACAGGATATTGCTTTGTAAGGATATTCAAATGGGGCTATCGGCACGGTCTTTCCCTATGGACTTGATCCCCACTTGTGATATATATACCTATGCGAATTTAGTATCAAAGCACCAAACAGGTCTCTTCGCTCTTTAACATACGATACCAAGGCCATCACTGAGCAGAGACGTTCTGTGATGGCTTACCTCGATAACAGCCTGTTTTATTATATATACGGCAGGAGCTATATTCTTAACGTATATCGAACCTCTGCATGCGTATCCTAAACAAAATCTTCAAAATTCAGACTTATTCGTTTTGTTCGCCTGGTCTAATTTTCACATGCTACCTCTATATGAGAGTGATATTTTAAACATGATACAGCGACGCAGCAAAGGCCCAAATAAAGACATATGCCCATACACACCTCATCGAACACCATACATATGAACTTCGCACCCTCAGCTTCCTGCTGGTAGGATCAATGCATACATTATATACCATTGTCGCGAAAGCTTACAGCCGTATCTGACTGTACCTGCATTGCCCAGTCTGTTCGATATGTACATTGCCTCCTGTCGAGAGTACATTATTAGCGGCATCTTCGTGCGGCTAATGTTCCCGGATTGACTTCGAACGAACTCCGCTGCAATAGACCAACTAAGATATACTCCACGTGCGCGATTAGGTGGTGACCTTGCGGGTAGACAATATCTACCGATACATAACGGGTTGCATAGTAGAAGTATAGCGAAATGCGTTGTTCTTTATTGATCGTCAATTATCGGAGTGTAGTTGTATTGGGTTTGACGAATTTCTAGCTGTAAATGATAGCATCTTGGGCGTGGTATTGATGACCTTCATGGGATACACCGCGTGCGCAACGCGTCTGTCTAAAGAACTTCCAGATTCGAGGAAAGGATTATATATGCTTATAGAGCTATTGGGTTTGCCTTTCTGTCGAACACCGTACCTTTGCGTAAACGTAAGCATTCGTGTGCCTCCGTGATTTTGTTATTCTAATACTACGATTAGCTCTGAAATCATTTTTTTAGCATAGTCTTTATTAAATCCAGGTCATCGCTAAAGTTCTTTACGTCCCATTATGACTTGCTACTTCTTTTCATATCGGATTATATTTTAGAGTTGACTTTTCATATAATTGTGTACTCTTTCTCTATCCGAGCTAGAAATTCTGTCGAAAAAGCTGTTTTGATAAAATATCTGTTCAATCCTTATGTTCCGCTTAGAATATTGCCATTTACCTCTAACGCCGGCAGGTTTTAGTAATCACCGTCTCAAGTACTGTTTCAAGTCAATGTGATATCAATATTTTCAAGCATATTCAAGATTATTAAAAAGAAAATAACGTCAAGATATTACGCTCATTTATAGTTCAATTCTTCTATTTCATGTATAATTATTGCATTCAAATGAGCACCGGGATCGATCATTTTTCGATCCTACTTTTTAAGGACAAACATTGAGTTTGCCTGAGTTGAAGTGTTACCTAAATTCTATTAATAATAATAATAACAATACAAGTATGAGTAAGTTTGGCTTCAAAACTGGATTTAGTATTCAATAGAGCTAAGTCGTGTTTGACAGAATAAAGACCAATATAGGCAAGACGTGTCAGGAAACTGAAAATAATAATCATCACAAGGACTTATGGCATTACTTCATCAAGCAATCATAGTTTAGTAACATTGTGTTCAATCAAATGATGTAAAATCATAGTAATTGATATTCCAATGATTCTGCGTACATTCTTACATAGATATACTTGTCCACGTAACTTTTCAATTCCACTGTATAACTGTCATGTTCCAAAACAAAAAGTTATATTTGTCGGGTACACGTCCATTGCGATTATGAGACGGGTTGGATAACACTGTAAAAATATCAATATAAATAAGACTAGAACGTTTGAAGTTTAACTTGAAGCAACTAAAAGGAAAATATTATGTGAAACGTTAGATTAGACAGCAAACAGTAATAAGTGATGATAAGAGGATAAATCCAATAAGAAATCGATGGAATTACCTATTTGTAGGAGAATCTAATCGATACAAAGAGTCATGTCTTATAAATCAAGCTAATCTCGAATGTACACTGGAAATTAAAAGCAAGTTCATTCTTCATATATAGATCAACCGAATACTAGAAAGAGGTCTACTATCCGCCGATACAATGCAACTTTTTCTTGTTGTCTGACATACTCCTATTCAGCATTGTTAGCTGCATAGACACAGTCTAAAAAATGACCTTTGAAAATATATATATATATAGGTATATATCCACACTGTGGTACCAAAAAGCCACAGACACAGCAAGGAAGTAAAACAAATCCACATCTTTCATATGCGTAAAGTAGTCATTTATGGAAACAAATAGACGAAAGTTCCATGTCTATAAAACTTTGAAAGTCTCGAGCTCTATGTTCGGTGTCGCCGTTCGAAATTGCTTCAGGCGGCTACCCCCCAGCAGAAACCACAGTGTATCCATATCCGTATTTGACCTTAGACCACACCATGTACAGGCAAACTCGTTACTATTGCGGCACCAAACCTAAAAATCTTAAAGAAAAATTACTATAGCCATCAACGTGTGCATCTAGCCGGTTACTGGAGTCTATTGGTTCGTAGACTTCCAAACGTTCAACGAGTTTATCCTAAACTCTTGTTTCCTTGAAGGGCGCGAAATTTTGAATTTAAATAGTACATATATACAATCGTTTATATCAACTTAATCAATTACTTTATTTAATGTACTGAAAAATATTAAATTTACGTGTGTTTTGACCTGATTTATATTTCATATGATGATTATTTAGCAATATATGAACCACGGGCCGCTCACTACAATGAGTGACACGAGAACTTCAATCACAGTTCTGTAGTATATTATAACTCACTGTATTATCCATAAAGCACACGTAGTACGTTGAATTAATAATGACAGCTCTTTGATTATATGCGTGATGCTAAATTTGCTGACCGGTGTAGATTCCTGTAAAAATGACTTGTAGGTTCCTGTGAATATCCTGATCTCACTAGGAAAACGTCAAGCTAAAAAAATTTTATTAGATAGTGACAATTGGTTTGTCTAAAAGATCGAACGTCCATGTATACACACTGTTTTGAGCACTATTCACCGGTAGATTCAACTTGTTCCTTTGCTTTTTACTGCCGTAGGGTAAGATATGGACACACCTCAATAAGATAATGAGCAGTAATTGGATCATTTACATCTTCCTGGAACCAAACGGAAATAAATTAGATAAGTATCAATAATAATGCCAAATAATAACACAGTCGCTTTACTAGAAACACACAATAGAATCAAGATAATTAATATCAGTTGAAAGGAAGCTGGGTACCTTCTTCGTGCGCGGAACGCCTCGTCTTCCCCAGCCTCGTTCGTAGCCGCACGCTCGCCGCCAGCTGGCGCTAAATACGAACTGAAAATGGAGTGTAAAGGATTATTGTTAAGAGACCACTCTACTATAAAAAAAGAGGCCAGTACAAAAACACACCATGAGAATTAATTTTCCCAAAAAAATCTCATTTACATGTAAGCTAATTAGCCCGAAACTTGGCTGTCTCCAAGCGAACGATCGAGAGTGGACGGCGGGAAGGTTTCTGTGTGGATTTAGTACAATGGGCCATACACGAGGCTGTAGTTATGCTGGCTTATTAAGTTCATCTGCTTTTTACCGTTTATACAACTGACTTTGCCAAACAAGATTCAACGGCCATCGGCACGAGTCTTGCCACAGCTCACCGAGTTAGTCAACATAAAACCGTACGCTTTTTGTTACCTGGATTCTGTATAGTTGACTTTTCTGCTTAGCATTATTAAATGTTCTGTTTGTGATTGTACGTATGTGCTTGAAGTAAGTTGCGTATTAGTGTCACAGAACAAGACTAGAGTTATTACCGAGATCTCATACTTCAAGTCGTCTAATCGAGTAACGACTTCATACTGGTATGTTTTTAATGCGTATGCATACGTTGCTTATTAAAGTTATCGAATAAGTAATTGATACAAATACAGGACCCTAACCGCACCGAGATTTTGAGCCACTGCCACAGCCGGTGCGTCCGATCGATATGCTTATTTATCATTCAGAAGTGTATTCTAAGTCTGACACCCTTGCACCAATAGACGCAGCTTTTTGATTGTTCATTTACCTATCTGCTGTATTATGTACTGCATCGAACACTATTGTAGCCTTGCATCTTGGCCTACTCTTAGAGTTATACGCCTGATCGATTTTAAATTATCAACTAAATTCTTCCAAACACGTTTACAAGCAGACGGCAGAGCATTCTTTCCATCCGCATGCATCTACCTAGACATTCTCTCGTTAGGTCACCAGCCCCCCCTCCTGCACTTGCACTTCGTAGGGGCACCGCTCCCGTCGTTGTTGGAGTCAAGAGATCTGTGCAGGTAAAGTGGGCACGGAAAACAAGGTCGCCGGAAGATGGAAGCTCCGTTGCGGAGACTGGAGGAGACCCAACGTCTATGATAAGTGGCTAGGCGGCTGAGCCTAGCTCAACCGGGAAGACAAGTAGATCTCCCAACCAGTTCCGGGAAAGAGCTGCAGTTCCGGGAGGATAAAATGGTTATCCCTTTTGGTCATTTGACCTACCGTTGCTAAGAAGGATGAAAAGTTTTGACAAAGCGGGTAAAGGCATGTCTGTGTACGTCTTCTGTACGGAAAGCCAGGATTGGCTCGGATGTTTGCTGAGATAGACCGAGATAGTTGCCTAATCACTGAGTGGCAATCACCCAAACCACTTTTCATGGCCCAGCAAGCCCATGGGCTTAGTTGAAGCATACGGGATTTCAGCCCGGGTCGCGACGCACTCAGGCGCTTTGCTGCTGGTGTTGCAAGGTTATGACCGCGTAGCGTGTTAGATATCAAGCCGAGGCCAAGTGTCGTGATCCTTCACACGTCCGCTAAAACGAGCTGGTTACAAGGCTATATATTCATGCACGGAAAGCGTTTAAGCAATGGGCTACGAAATGTAACTAAACCTTCGACCATTTATAGTCGGTCTATGGTTATGATGGTATCTGAGCTAACTTAGGTCTGTTCTATGTATGTGTGTAGTAATTAGCGCTCCAACTGACGCATATAATAAGAGGATATTTGGTGTGATTACTGGGAGAGCGCTTTTTCACGCGTAGATATTTGGGCATTTAGCTGTTAACAAGTTGCGTTGACTATGAAGCGGATATTTTTAGAATATCAAAATAATTCGTGTTGCAGATTGCGAAAACAAATATGTAGTAACTTAAAACAAAAATAAAAAGAATATTGATGTCGTGCACCCCTATTCTTTGTTATATGACCAGGAGCTTACCTGCTGATATTATAAACGGCAAGACGCATGGTTCTACATGGATATATATATATATACACGGATATATATATACATACGTATATAATGATTTAAAATTAAATGTTTCTTTTGAAAAATAGCAAGTAGCGTCGTGCTTAATATAAATAAGATAAGTGCCTGTCGGCGCTTTGTGACGTATAATCGAAGTTGAAAAAACATACAATCTGGCTTATCCACACATTTTTACTCCAGTGTACCAAGCGTGACCCTACTTTCTGTTGTAATAAATTTACGTATTACTCCATTGAAAATGTAGAGTCCGTCCAACTACGCACTGAATGCATTTTTGCAAGCTTGCAGCTAAAGACGTTAAACTTAATTAATTCCAGGCACGAAATGACGTTCATGGTGATCCGTGTCACGCACATTATTTTGGCCCACACAGAAGGATCAATGGTTGTGAATTTCGGGGCCGCTGTTTCTAACGCCCCTTTTTTTAAGAAGATAAACGATTTAGAAATGACCTGAGTGGAAAAATAAGGCCAAGAGATCATTCGATTGTCACTATGGCAGAAAATCATCGTTGTAAATATTTATCTGGTCCTGGCAAAATATAGGTTTGACTTCAGTTCCCTTTACTTTTGATACTACACATTATTAACTGAAGTCGAAACTTTAGAGTATCTAGACAGTACTACTCAATTAGTCTAGTATGTGGCAAAAAATTAAACCTTATTGCAACACATTTTAGTCGTTACGGTACGCTGTACGTAATTTACAAACATACTCGAAGAAAGCTTGCTGTTAATCTAATTACATGCGTTGTACCTGCACATTGCACGCCCGCGGCACTTAATCCACGAAAAGTTGAATTCTGTCCACGTAGACTACTACAGACAGAACTTAAACTTATCTGTGTTGTAAAACATCGCAACAGAGTGACTGATGATCGTGCGTGGAGTTGATTCCACCAGTTGACGACAGTGAACCAAGCTGTACGCAAACGCTGCATGTTTCCACCTTGCAAAACAAAACTTATACACCTTCGAACACATGTAACATCCCCAAACCTCCCCTGTTTCTTAATATCTTTCTATTTTCTTCTGAAAGTAGCTTACTTTAAAAATAGTTCCACCTGCCCAATTTCCCAACGTCTGCTTCACTTTCCCTTGTAATTTGCGACCAACGCTCATTTGCGATGCAGGATAGCATGCACCTCATCTGTTTGGTGCGTCTGCTTGCTTACCGTCCGATCTGTCGCCTGTTTGCAACAACACTTGCAATTGCGACACATTTGAGGCGTAGTGGGGCATAGGGGAAACACATAATTTAAGCATGTACCATCATTAGCATTTATTGCTTACTCCAACTGTGCGCCGGATCCGCTTCGAGTGCCCGTTCAAGCATCATTCCCCGATTTATTTTTTGTCCTTTTACTAACGCTTGTATTTAGATCTCTTATATTTTAACGGTCCTCGCTGTTAAGTACGGCGACCCCTGCACGTGAGCTCTAGCGCTGCCACTGCTGGCGTTATCCAGTTCCACACTGCCGGTCCTCCTATCCTAGTTTTCGCATCAGTTTGCAGGCCAAGCCACGTCCTTCTAAGGCGCTTTTTTCCCACAACACTTGGTTAGCCACCCCAGCCTTATTCAGAATAGAAACCAGACATTGCCGCTGATTTGAAACTGTGCATCATAGTTTGCAGTGTTCGTCTAAGCTTGTCTGGGGGCGCGGGTTGGCCCCATAGTTACAGCAACATAGCTTTAGCTAAACGGTAAATTGCAAAAGCAAAGGTACGCTGGCAGTACTGGAGCACGCCTCATTCTAAATCGAGCAATTTCCTTGTGTTTTTCTCAGCCACTGGCCCCTTCCGAACCAGAGCGGAGCCCGCTGCTGATGAGGACTGAACACCTGTGGAAGCTGGAGCAGGATTCACTCTGTCGATTGGTCGTTATGCAAATGGCAATGTCACTAGTTGCAGAGGGGCTCAGTCGCGACCTGGAAGAGGAGGATGGGTAACACTCGAGCGAACGAGCAGGAGAGCAATCTTGCACTACGACGTTTACGTGGCGACGTTGTCGATCAGTGGAGCGTCGGGCGAAGGAAGGGTCCGGGCGGCGGGAGTGACTTCATTCTGAAGACAATTGCCTGGAATTAGTGGTGGCGGCGCCAGTAGTGGCAAAAGCAGCCTGAGGATGCGCTGTTGTCCCTAAGTTTCCTGCAGGTACGGGTGATCCCGGTTCTGATCTGCAGGTTGTCCCGCATCCTCTAACTAACGACATAGCAACGTATGTATATGTGTATTAGTGACTGTTGTTAGGGCGGTCTGCTTCCGTGCACATCGGCTTGCTCGTGTAGGTGCACCACCAGCCACTCACTCTCATTGCGTTGATTACCATTTCGACCGCTTCAAGCGCTGGAGCATCAAAAGCGGCATGTTAATTTTAGCCGTAAACTACATGACCAGCTTGCATTGCATAAAAGCAAGATGCATTTTATAGCTTTGCTTAACGATCCAGAATTTGGTTGATAATCATTTTATTAATGGCGTATGAGAGCAAATTGCTTAGCTTGTTTGTTCAGTTCTCTGCATGTTACTTGAAAACCTTTTTTATCCCATAAATGTAACGGATTGTTAAAAAATGATAGCATCAAAAAGGAGAAGTAACACAATCGATATCTCCATTATGGTATACTGCGCATATTGAGATGATCTGATACTTTCAGAAGAAGTTGCCGCAAGTTGATTCCCCATAGAAACACCTGTTTGCAGAAAGTCCACCATGACACCCTTCTGTAGCATATGCGATCTCGGAGCAAATCGCCTGCTGAAAAATATTATAAGTCGAACAAATTAAGGCAAGTGGCGCCTTACCATCTTTCTTGGTCAGTTTATCAGCAAAAGTACGCACACATAATGTTAACGCTATCAGGACGACAACCTGTTCCACTACGCTTTCTTCAACTTGCTTCTATACGCTTCAGCAAAATACATCCCATTCTAAGAAAACCTGTTTTCGAAAAGCGCATTTGCCGCTGGTGCCCATTTTCAGCATGGCGTTAGCGACTCTATTACGGATTTAAATTTATCGCGCCACAGGTTAGCGGACGACGCGCAGCCGAATCCGCTGGCGGCCTGTGATGGATAGCAAATTGCTACTGCTTGTGAACTGGCAGCAGATACAGCAAGAGACGCTTCGAAGACCTGTACCTTTAGGGGGTGTCCACAGAGCGATTATGTAGATCCTAGTGCTGAGCATTAGAGTTAGGTCCGATTTAAGTGCGATCGGCTATGCTTCGAGGGTGGAGGCTTCGTTGCACTAAAGTCAGCTTCCGCCTGTAACCGGTAGTGCCCTGAAATAATATACGCAAGAAAAAAGTTTGCTACTTGCGACTGCCGTTACTGTCGTGCCATTCTGGTACGAAGGCAGTATGTCTACAAGCCGATACGTTGGTTGTCGATAATCACGTTAGAAATAGCAAATTAAGTTTTCAAGCTGAACGCGTTTGCCTGGGATACTCGTTGCCCAGGTGCAGACACTAAACACTATATATATGGTCTGTACAAGCAAAAGGTAGCTGCAGAAGTTTTTTGTGCCTTTGTCTTTTAGGTTGTGCTGGATGGAAATGGCGACAAGAAGTTGTCGCATGGATATTAACCTTTCACCATTACAACAGGTAGTCTGTCTTGTGCGTAGGTCTGCAGCGTCTTCAGTAAATTCGATTATATCTGGAAAGGAAAATACGGAAGCACTTCAGTGAACTTGCTTTTATTTTTAGTCTGAGTACTTCTCATTTACGCGCAAACCGCAAGTTAAATGAACTTGAAGTTTGCCAGCCCAAGAGCAGGCACGTATACAGCAAGTAAGCTGTAGACAGAATCATGTTGTAAGAGCTCGACTGGATCGCAACTTGAAAATTGGTAATAAAATTATAAAATGATTCTCTCTATGCTATAGGTCGATGACGGTTTCTAGACATGTGAAGAGCAATTAATTTTTTTTGGGAATAAATAAACCTTCGAAGTTAACTTAGAAGAATGACTGTCAAAAGTTCAATGTCTCAGCTTTCCAAGAACACCCTATTGACATGTCAGTGACAATTAAGTCAGAACATGTAAACTAAGACAGGGAGCAAAATTTGAAAATGATCTGGACAATCTGAGTTTAGGCGTATAATGAACAAATACTACTTAATAAATAATAATAGAATGGCAGCACAATAAAAAAGATTCATATGGCTAAAACATTTCTGTCTATTTATACACTCTTTAGAGGATCGCACTTCTTGATGCATATGTATATATATGCATCAAGAAGTGCGATCTCATATATATATATATATGTATATATAGCAAGACGTGGTAAAATGTGTGTATTAGTTACATAAAATCAAGAACAAAGAGCGGAATTCTTTAGCGATTTTATATAGCGAAATTAGGAAGTTATGAAAAATTATTAGCACTTGTTTCGTCTATTGATAACCCACGGTTCTATTTCTGAAAGGATTTTCATGTATGATTGCCCATAAGTATATATTACAGGCACCGCTATTGCTTGACACAGAAATAGCTCGTATGCCTTCATTCAGAATGCTTTATATAAGTGCACCCTAGGGTACTGGTGCCAAGTATGTGTCATAATGAACTTCAGATTATTAGGGCCTCGCTCTGATTTGCCTTGCCTCATATTCATTTTAGAACACAAACTGGCGAATATTCCCACCAGCTCAAGGGCGGTTATCCCAACACTTGTGATTGTATTTCCTTGTGTTGAAACTCTGCTACCACCAGCCTATTATTGCTCCCCAAATAGAGATTTTGGGTCAGAGCAGAGTATTGGGGCTGGATTCACCAAACCGTGTAAAGCACACCGTATCGCATTGGAATGAAGTCGGACTAGAATGACTGAAAAAGGTGGGGTCACCGCGACTAGTTGGTACCACCTGGTCCCGGAACATGTTATCCAATGATGTTAAACAGATACCCCGCAGACATCTTTGGGCATCTGCGATTCGTCTCGGACTCTCACACTACCCCCATTCATGTCGAGCCATCCGTCTGGCTAGAAAAGGTGGAGAAATGTGCCATGCCCCGAAGGAACGGTGCGAGCGAAAGAAAACACAAACCGCAAAAAGGATTTGCCATTCGTGTAATAGAACAGGCCGCCGTCAGGCCAATTGCTGCAACAAGCGGTCGATTGTCTATAGCGACGCTAGAGCCAAAACTGGTTTGATTAAGTAGGGTCAGCTTAGATTCTGACAGTGGGTCACACTTCCACGCGTCCCAATAAATAGGAAGAATACTATCGGCAAAAACGCCTGCGCAGGTAGATACTATCTGCAGAGAACGACCCGATTTTATCAATTGCTGGGAGTAAGGGTGTCGCTAACCAGAAATGCATATTAAGTCGGGATCATAAGGGTGAAAAGATACTTGTTTAATGGCAATAATGCACGTACTCGTAATCGATAACTGTATAGTATCGATTTTGAAGTTCAAACAAATTCTTTAGGCTAACGGTCGAGATTTATACCAGTGTTAAAATATCTAAAACAAGTAAGATGTCTGTCTAAGGCAGTCGAATAAAACTTTGAGCATCTTTTTCGGGGCATATTTTATGTGGCCCCCTTTCCTTTTCTCGGTTCTCTTGTATGAATAACGCACATTCAGTTAGATCAGGATATGGCCACGCAGCTGGTGCTGCGTTGGGTTCCGATATGAAGACTGCTTCCTTCAAAACAGCGCGCTGCGTTATGGACAAATAGCCCATCGTCCTTTTTGGGACATTTAAAGTTTGGGTAAGGAAGGAGCTGTGCGAAAACGACGACAAAATGGCGTGGCAAGATGGTACGACCCAGCACGATGTTCGTGCGTGTCAGATTATAGATCTCTGAATTTTTGTAATATTATATGCCAATATAAGTACTTAATCCGTGTATAGATATAAACATATATTGGTCAAAATGTATTGGCGGTTAATGAACCAGAATTGAAATATACTTTTTATATACTAAAATT